TTATTTTAATCAAATATAAGTTTTGATAAAAAGTTCTTAATCCATCTGATATTAGATTTCTTAGAGAGGTTTGAAAGGTAATATTTGCTAGAAATGTATTTTGGCTGAGAAATAAGGGATAGAACTGACCATTTTTGGCTATAAATTTTATTTTTGAATTGTCTTAGAGGGTGACCTGGTCAGCCTGACCTTGGTTGTGTACATGTATAGGCACTCAATTTCACTTCACTAAAAATAGGACTGTCAATCAAATCTTGAATTGATCAGAGATAAGAATGGAAATTGGATATGTTGACTTTGTTTTTCTGTATACTACTTACTATGTTAGAAAAAAATCAAGTTTGGATATCTTGATGAATGTAGAGATATTAGAATTAATATTTTTGATAAAAATGTACATGTTTTTGTACATAAGTGCAAAGCTTTGAATTCTATTTTTAGCAACCGACTTGTTAAATCTGAAATACATATTTGGGGAAGGGTTGTCTGCATGGAAGGCTTCTCCCTTTGGATACAATGGTAATCAATGAAGGGGTGAATGTGAGGTTTGGGTGCATTTAAAAAAAAGTTGAATGAACTTGAATTTACCTTTTTTAAAAAACTTTTTTTGAAAAAAATCTAACTTCCAACAAGTCTGTTTTACAGTATGAAGGTTGGGTTGTCTAGTAGTTGTAGTGCAAAATGTTTGAAATGACCCCCCTGGTCATATTCATAAGAAATTATTTCAGAAAATGCACAAATTGTGACATTTACTGTACTGCAGTTGACCTCCAGAATGTGATGTAAATATGACAATGCCTTTTAAAGAATAAGGTTAAATACAAAAATTGAGCTAAACCATTCAATTTGATTTTAAAAAGTATATTATATTACTTATGAGTCTTATGAGTCTGAGAAGTAGACTTAAGTAAGATATCTCAATTAAGTCTTTTATCATTGATCTGAGGCAAATCTACTTCATGCTTTTACTTTACTGTATTTGCTATATTTTATGTAAGAACATAGAACACATTTCTTGGTACATCTGAAAAAACGCACTTAACAAATCTTCTACAAAGCAATAAACTATGCCAGCTTTTTCCTAGTTTTAAGATCACCTGTTAAAACTTCATCTTTTTGCCAAGAATAATTGTAGTTGCCATGGAAACACCAATATTTTTTGTCAATTATTCAGCTGAGAGAAACTGTATAATAGTTAGCGCATTCATAGATGGTTACTAGCCCCAGAGATATTGGCTTGGATCATTAGGGATAATAAAACAACACATGTGTGATCTATTTAGTGATCTATTTCATAAGGTTTATAGAAAACTGATGTAATTTAAGTTTTTCCTTCATGTAGCAGTAGAAAAGACATTAGACTGGTTGTTACTGATAGTTTACAGTGTTGGAGTTTGAGGGTTGATTTGGTTGCCAGGTAAATACAAACATCTTACTATGATTCTGTAAGTACAATATATATTGCAATTGTCAAGATGAACACTTTAAGGGTGAATTGGTGTCATTAATAGTTTACACATCTGAAATATTAATATTTATCGTATGATCTGTAAAATGAAGCCCTCTGATTGGTCAGTTCTTGTGCTGTACCAATCTGTATTGCTACTGAGATTGTCCCCCCATTGATCATCTCCGTCGCAATACAGAAAATATTGGTATGGAGCGGACAATCTCAGTAGCAATACGGAGGATCACACAATAAAAACGTTATTGAATGATTTGAAGTGCAATACAGGATATATTCTGTCTCGATATTCTGTATTGGCACTCGACTTTGTCTCGTTCCAATACGGAATTTCTCAAGCAATATATCCTGTATTGCACCTCAAATCATTCAATAATATATTGTATTGTTTGTATTGTAATGTATTGTATTGTATTGTTTTGTGGATTATGATGCCTTCTGGTTTCTTAAGTATGTTGCGTTTCAGATTTTCCAAAAGAAAAACATGTTTTTCAACTTTGTAGTTGCATAGGATTTGATTATATATTCAAATTAACTAATGGTCTATATGGCTTTGCACTTAAACCTCTTCTAGTTGCATATTTTCAATTTGCCTTTGGATCATGTCGGTTAAATGTAGATTTATATAAATGCCAGACTTAAATCATGAAGCCTCAGAAGCAAAAGTGAGAAAAGGATTTACAGATAGTGATATTGTTAGTTATTCCATAGTTAGCATGATATTCATAGGATAACATGTGAAAATAAAAACGGTATTTTTGTAATCAGTGGTAAAATATGATATTTTTGACAAATTTTCACTTAACCATAACATACGGTTTTTTAGCCATGACATACGACGTCGTATGCGATGGTTTATGGATTTTTGCTACTTCAGACTCAAAACGAGGCTAAGTGTCAACATCGCCGGATCGTTTGGAAATTTGAATTAAAGAACTTAATTTCCGACGATTCTGATGATGACTTTAGGCTTAACTATGGAATAAAAAGAACATCCTATGATTTACTCGTGATATGATTTTAATCCACTCATGGATATTTTATATCTACACTCTCTCGCTACGCTCGCTCGTGCAGATATCATATCCATTCGTGGATAAAAATCATATCATAAATCATAGGATATCCTCTATTTCTGTTTGTCATCACATAACCTGTATGTAATGGTATAACCAATAAGGCTTATTATCTGTTCATAACAAGATGAATTGAGAACTGCAGAAAGAAGAAATGTTATCTACTGCAATGGAGTCAAGTGTTAACCATAAATTATGACATATATCGGCCCCTCATTCTTTTTCAAATATTTCATCTTAGGTAGTGCTTAATTCAGCTTACAGAAAAATGAAGAATATATTGTTTTCATCATATTATTTGAGAATGTTTGTTTTACTGACGCATACAAGGAACTTTAACTTTCATTTTTGGACAAGATAAAAGCTGCTAATGTTACCACAATGAAAATGTCAAAAATAGAACATATTTTACTTATTTTCTGCTTAGATTGTGGTTTCCATAGCAACCATGAATCATAGAAGAATAAAACTTGCTATGCTATCTCACAATGACCCCAGCATCTCTATAAAAATATTAGGAAAATTAATGATCAACATAATGTGATATTGTATGATGACAAAGTTCCCTGAGAGACTTTCAATATAAGGGGCTAAATACCTCTTGTACTGCTGTTTCCATGGATACAGTATATCTGAGGACAATTTACTGAAATAATGTGGTTGAGTTATTACGACCAACCAGGCATGAAACAGGGCACTGAAGGCATGTAGAATTTCAGGCCCGTAGCCAGGATTTTCCAAGGGGGGTTCAGTTTTCAAAAATTTCCAGGGGGGTTCACATTTGACAATTTTGGTCCAAATACGGCTAAAATCACTTGAGAAGTGCACAAAATGGTGACTAACTGCATGATTTTGAAAGAATTTTTGGCCAGGGGGGGGGTTGCCCGAACCCTGCAAACCCCCCTTGGCTACGGGCCTGAATTTTTAAAACTTTTTTCACTTGAAACAAATGATTGCTTGGTGAAATTTTGACAGCAAATAACAATGTTATTTCTTATATTACTTAAACATATATCTTAGGTTTTCCAGTCTAACCACTCGAGCTATGTAACATAGGCTTTATTCAAAAATACATGTAAATATAGAAAACTTTTCAAAAAAGAAAAAAGGAGGTTACTATTTGAATGACTTTCTTATTATTTATCCAACAAATAAGAGAAAAGTTCAGCTCACTTATTGAACAACCCTTGTATCCTGTTTGCTTTTAGCTGATGAATGTATCAGTTGGGGCATCTAAACTAATTCTTCCTGAATCCCTGCTTTGATGTGCCTATATTTATATCATGTTATCTTGTTCTTGTGTATCCTAAATACCTTTCATCACTCAAGATGCTGTGTAGTATCTCTAAGAATACTGATAAATTATAAGAATAGAAAAATTACCTGGATTCTCTACAGGTAAAATTATTACCTGTACTTGTTGGCCTCATTTTGTTCTTGTTTACTGCTGCTGACTGGCTACAAAACTGACTAATAAATAGACAATCAGTTAAAATATAATAAATTAGACATTTATTATATTACCATATGATGTATGGTACCATAAATCATGAAAATTAGGCAGAAGTATTTTCACATTGTGCATTCAAATATGTTTTAATAATTCATTTAGAATAATAATTCATAATTCATAATTTTCACATTTAATCTTTTCATTTTCATGATTATATACTGCAGTCCTTATTCAGGGAAAATATGAATCATTATGTTTCATATGAATATTTTGATTTTCTGAGGAATTCAGTCACTCAGGAATATAATGTCTTTTTGTCACTGCTATAGCCACTATTTTTGTGATCAGTCTTTGGCATTAGTGCTCAATATTTGGTATTTGTAACAAATGGTTACACTTTTATAAATTGCAGCCAGGCGGTGATATTTTATCATGTGAATGGTTTGCTTAATTTCGTAGTTTGAATTTTGCTAATCCATAGTTGTTAAAAGATCAGTTCAGATTGTATCTTAACTAAGAACAATTGAAATTGTAAATATTTGTGAACTGTGGCCTTTATGATCTCAACACATTCTAAGGTGGGGCTACATGTCATGGAAAAATAATGAGGTTGTAAAATTTGGGAATTTTAAACAGTTGTTTGAGATAAGCTCATGGTTCAAAGATCAAACTACATTTAACAAATAACATATTTTACACCCAATTATTCTGAGGATTTACTCTGAAATGGGTTGTACTGTTATCGAAGCCTTCTTCTTGTAGGAGTAGCTACAGGGTCAGAATGAGGATAAGAAAGTGATTTGATACAAGATTCTTATCAAGATATTTAATCTTGATGATCCTCATACTTTACTGAATTCCAAATATATCTTGAAGAAACATGAAAAACATATTTTCTTCACTTTTTTGACAACAGGGTATATTTCTATGTGTTGAATATTTTGTTTGATTTCAACTATTACTGAATCAAGTCACCATTTGTTGATTAAAATTTGTTTTATTTCAGCCATCCAGTCCCTTGACAATCTCAATGAGCAGGTGGTTCAGTACTCGGAGCCCGAGAGCTCCCTCAACGCAAACCTGGAATTTGGATTATCTGATGACCAAAAAGATAATTTGAAATCATCATTAGCATTGATGCGCCATCTTTTGTTGGATGCACAGAGAAAGTTTCGAAATATGGTCGATGAAAATAAACGTCTTGCTAGTAAAATTGATGGGACATTGCAAGTAGCCAATCATGAGGTATTGTCTCTTAGGACGGAATTAGCTGACACAAATAAACGATTGCTAGAGATTAGCCAGGATGGAAGTATGGAGTCTGGTCACACCAATGATGGTAAGTTAAGTTAATGAATATGAAAGAAATAACTAATTAACAACTTAGAATTAACATTTGAATTAACATATAGCGTAGATAGCCTTAAATAGCCATTTTGGTGATTTGTTCTTATTGATCAAAATGCTACTAACATCTACCTAGGTACATAATATTTTTATAAGTGTGAAACTGGTTCTGTTTGTGACATCATGTTTTTTCCCAGGGAATCTTATTTTGCCACTTAGTTGCGAGTCACTTGTTACTTATCCATTTTCCACTGAATCTTTTTTAGTTAGAATAAAACAAATGGAAATTACTGAAATGGCAGTGTCAGCAAAATCTGTATTTCCTGTTTCCAGTGCTTTATTATCACATCGAACAAAGTTCGGAGGGATATAGGGAAAGCCTCCGTCCGTCCGTCTCCGTCCATCCGTCCGTACGTTTACTTAATAACTCGAAGTAGTAGAGCGATTTTGTTCATATTTGATATGTGAATACTATAAGCATGGCACACTGTCTAATGGCACTTTTAATAGAAGGCGGCAATTTTTAAAAATGGCCGCCATTTTGAAAAAATGCCATGAATGCCGCCATTTTAACGTGTTTTACTATAACTCGAAAAGTAGTGGAGCGATTTTGTTCATATTTGGTATGTGAATATTATAATCATGGCACACTGGCCAAACTGCCCTAATTCACGTCACCATACTAGTCAATGGGCAAAAGGCCGCAAACGCCTGACTTTTTATCTCGAGTTATGGATTTATGTGGCCTCACTGGCCTATCTGAGGTTCTAAAGCTATGTCTAAGCTACATCTTGACAAAAAACTCAATAGGGGCCAATCATCTACTTTTTGAAATAATTGGTCAATTGTGACACTACCCCCTCTCTCTGCCGACACAAATTGAAATTCACAAAAATCAAGGCAAAATTAATGCGCCACTTGACTCGAAATTTTCCTTCAGATAACCCAAATAAACGCATTTTCAGAAGAAATGGCATGTTGTCATTGCAAAAAGATGACAACTGTGCCTACATACTAGCTTACTGACTCGTCATGATCACAATTGTGTTGGGACTACATTTATTTTTGAATACTACTTTTTTCTATTCAGCGGAAGTGACGTATTAGGGCATTTGGGCCACTGTCTAATGACACTTTTGGAAGAAGGTGGCCATTTTGACAAATGGCCGTCATTTTAACGTATTTTACTATAACTCGAAAAGTAGTGGAGCGATTTTGTTCATATTTGGTATGTGAATATTATAAGCATGGCACACTGTCTAATGACACTTTTGGTTGAAGGTGTGAAAAATAGCCGCCATTTTAACTTATTTTATTATAACTCGAAAAGTAGTGGAGCGATTTTGTTCATATTGGGTATGTGAATATTATAAGCATGGCACACTGTCTAATGACACTTTTGGTTGAAGGTGTGAAAAATAGCCGCCATTTTAACTTATTTTATTATAACTCGAAAAGTAGTGGAGCGATTTTGTTCATATTGGGTATGTGAATACAATAAGCATGGCACACTGTCTAATGACACTTTTGGTAGAAGGTGGCCATTTTGAAAATGTCGCCATTTTGAAAAATGGCCGCCAATTTAACATATTTTACTATAACTCGAAAAGTAGTGGAGCGATTTTGTTCATATTTGGTATGTGAATACTATAAGCATGGCACACTGTCTGATGACACTTTTGGTAGAAGTTGGTGGCCATTTTGAAAAATGGCTGCCATTTTTGCTATATACTTTGTTTGTAAATATGCCAGCCATGGCTGTTCGATGGGATTTGCTACGCTTTGGCGTTGCTGTTGTCTAGTTTGTTTTTGAATGCTTTACTGTGAACATGAACCCTAGGTAAATTACCTATTTACTGAAGTATTCAGGCAAATACCATCTAACTTGAAAGGCATTAGCTTTAAAACATATGTCCATGTATTTTTAACAGATTTTCACCATATACTTAAAAAGTTTATCTTTTAGCTGTTTCGTTGGTTATCCTTTGCTACAAACTACTTGTACATATACAGTGATGATTGTACTCATTATAACATAAATATATCAATATGAGAACAGTCTATTAGAAATTCAAACAAATACATATAAAGCAAAGTATTGTGACATACTTATTTAGTACTATATTTTAACATGATTACACATGTCTTTATCTTTTCTTCTATTTTCAAGAGGCTTCCACTTCACCAGTTCAGTTCACTGTATGATCTGCATGAGATATGGTCTATGCTGATAGTTGTACCACTCCTTAGATAATTCTCTTAACACCCCTTTAGTCCATATTATGCACATTGCAGATGATAATATACAAATGCAAGAGAAGGAAGAACGGGAGGAAGAGATCAAAGGACTTAGGGAGAAGAATGAGAAGCTAGAGCAAGTTGTACGTGGATTACAACGTGAAGTTGTAGAATTGAGACGTATTAAAACAACATATTGTGACAGTAATAGTGCAAATGAAATCAAGTTTGACTATATTCAGTCACAACAGGAGCTCAGTAGGGCAAAGGAGTCAATTACTGGTAAATATATTTTATTGTATTTGAGATGCTAAATCCATTACTGTATGATGTATGAATGTCAACATAACCTTTTAATCAAGGACATCATTGTATAATATCGGGAGTCTACTTATTTTTAAAAATAGATTCCCATAATTTCATTCATTTTCCTAGATAGCAAGTACAATTTTTATTTCTCTGTAATACCATTTATTCCTGTCTCATACATTGAAAGCATATAAGCTTGGAGTTTTGTTTGAGTCAGGGAAAATCCTATATAATGTACTATATCTAGTACTAGACAAATATTTAAAAAAAATGAGAAGTCAAAAATCACTCCCACTCACTTGTTGAGCAATTTTTTTACCAAATTGTATTTCTAGTATTTACCGCCAAGTATTGGTCAACACCGCAAAGTATTGGTCAGCGTGCTACCATATTGACTTTTGGGTCTTTGATATCATTTTTGAGTTAGATGTAAGGCAAAAAAAACATGTCCTTCTGTTAATGAAACATTTCTATTACATGCTGCTACTTTTACACTATGATCTATGTACATGTTCCACATATTTTTACTCAGCGATGAAACTTGACCGGAAGCGGCTTAAGTCAGAAAAGGTGGATCTACTGAGCCAAATGAAACAGCTCTACTGCACACTAGAGGATAAGGAATCTGAGCTGAGGGACTTCATACGTAACTATGAGATGCGTATGAAGGAAAGTGATGATACAATAAAGCAGGTAAAACACAGAATAAAGTCCTTAGTCTTGCATCAAGCTTTTAACATCAACCTGAGTTAGAGAGGAAATCATGCTTAGTCATGATGGTGGAAAATCACTCCACCAATGAACGAATTGAACCCTTGAATTATCAATCTTCAGTCATACCACTCAGGTCTATAGATGACTGGCTCACCTGTCTTTTCAGGTTGTGTAACATTTGTTTGTGTTTTCTACTGCTTAGATACAAACAGTCATGTAAAAAAATATTAAGATTCCTGAAATTAAGATGTTGTTATGATTTTGCTATACTAAAGCAGTGAAAGAGAATTTAATTCTATAAGGACAATTTTGATGATTTCAATAAAAAGATTTTCTACAACATTTAAGAACTTCAGTAATTTCAACCCATTTTCTACTTAAAACCAGTTTTCAACCTGTTTCGTCACTATGTTACAGCTAGCATTTGAGAAGGAGGAATCTGAGCGAGAGAAGTGGGAGATCCTAGCCCGAGGCCGAGAAGCAGCGGAGAGGTCTGTTAAAGTGCGTAACCAGCTATTTGAAGCTGAGGGAAGAGTAAAGGCCCTTGAGGAGGAACTTCAACAACTGCAACAGGAACGAGTATGTAAACCAAAAGATCTGCTCAACTTTCACAAGAGCTAGACTTTGTTAAGACTCTGAATTTATAAATACAGGGTGGGCCAAAAATGTTACCCTTATTATATTCTTGCCAGTTCTGAAGTGGGAACATTTTGAGACTACTTTGACATTCTTTTATGTAGCCTATATTCAATATTTTAGTAGCCAACATTCATCCAAACTCCTATAAAAGCTACATTTGAAATTCTTTGGATATTCAAATCAGCATCAAACCTAAAACTAGAGGCACAAATGGCAACCATATAAAATGCAAGGCAATGCCTAGAGATCCAACAATATTCAAAGAGAAGACTGTTGAGAATGTTGAGTCCATCTTTAAGTTGTTGAAGCAAAACAAAATATATTGCAGTCCAAAAGAGGAACTACTGTGGATTATAAGTTTATGTGATATTATAAGGTACCTCTGTACAAATTGACACAAAAAATGTATTCATTGTTTTAGCAGGCAAGATTAACATCAACAACTTTAGGGGACGATACAACTTCAGGGTCAAATTTGACATCCATACATTCCAACAACAACACCATAGAAACACCAGAGAGCCTGGACACTAATGGGGCCACAGGCTTTTGTAAGTATTAACATGTGCTGGAATGGGGTTTTTGATTCTGTACACATACACCAATGTTCAAATGATAAAATGTTAGTATCAAATGTGAGATCAGCACATTAAAGGACAGAAAATTAGGTAAGAGGTCATACATTCAATGTGCTAGAACATACTTTAATCAGTTCAGAACTCAAACTGCAAGTTTATATTTATACTGCCACCTATTAGACTATATATAACTTATTCTATTCTACATTCTAGTTACTACTAGCACACCAGTAGAAATGAGACACCCCAGAGTGCCAGAAGCAGCTGCCAGTGAGGAGGACTTAAAACGACTTGAAGAGCTCCACACTATAAAAGTGCCAGAAAATGTGAAGTTTAAAAAGAAGAAAAGTAGTGGATTCAGGTCTTTTTCTCAAGTGTTCACAAAAGGCAGGAACAGAAGATCACTTGCAATGGACCCAAAACTTTTAGGTAATCCTTTCTGTACAGAAACATACCATTTTTTTACTTTCATCCTATGTAACATGCCAATGAAATATTTATATGGCGTTGTCAGATGACTGAAATAAGCAGGTTGAAATTATTAGTAAAGCATTTCAGAAAGATGAGTCAAATTGTGTATTCAGATGTTTTCAAACCGTAGCATTAAAGGTGCTTGAAAGAGTAATACAAATATTAAACTAGATACAGATGAAATATCAGAAATTGTTTTTCTTTGGTAAATAAAGGTGTCACTGCATGTGTTCTTTCAGAATATGACAAAGACAGTCCCGGAGGTCTTAAAGTACTCAATACTTCTAATTACAGAGAAAAACAGGAAATAGTTCGACAATGTAAAGGTAATTATTTTGAACATAGGTTCCATAGTTACTCAAGAAAAAAACCTCAAAAATTAAATCTTTGAAAGAATTTTCATAGAAGCTTTGTTTTTATCGCACCTTAAAAGCTACGATATTGTCGTCAGCTTGACGGGCGGTGGTGGGGCGGCATCTCACTTTCTTGTCAACACGATTCCAGGAAAACTACTCGATGGATTTACTTCAAATTTGCAAACATGTTACATGGAAAAAGTTCTAGAGCCGATTAACTTTTCGGTGGCCATCTTGCATTCTGGCGGCCATCTTGGAAGTTTTTAAATAAATCTTGTCATCGTGATTCCAGGAAAACTACCTTACGGATTTACTTCAAATTTTTACACATGTTACATGGTAAGAAGTTGTAGAACTGATTAACTTTTTGGCGGCCATCTTGCTTTCTGGCGGTCATCAAGCCCACACTGCTATGTTTTAGGAACGATATTGTTCATCCTGTGCCTTGTTAATATCTTTTTCAACACTTTATTCATTTCTTCAGAGAAATCAATTTATTTTGTTGAGACTTTAGACCTGTACCCATAAGTCTGTATCCTTAAAATTTCAACCTTGACTTGTGGATACACCCTTATAAAAAATCCGACCTTGAAATTCCGAAAACAAATGGTTGCCAACCATTGCGCAATCATTGCTCCAACCATTGCTGTAATGATTGCCAACCATTGGCATGTAATCATTACAATTGTGGTTGCGAATTATTGCAAATGTTTCAATGATTTGTAATCATTACAAATCATTGGCAACTTTGAATGATTTTCTTGCAACCATTGCAACTCAATGCAACCATTTTCACTTTGAGAAAAATCCATAGTTGTGAAGGACTAGATCTAATGTAAAAGTCACTATTTTAAGTTGCATCTAATAAATGATACAATAACCTTGCCTGTTTAAATTGCATTGGCATGTATACAGTATATAATAATCTAAGACTGACATCCTTGGATTTCAAACACCTCTATGAAATTACAATGACATGTCAAAAACAATTATTAGTACCAACAAAAAGTTCCAAAAAGCAAGCCCAATATCCTGTTTAAGAACACCTATTCTTACTATTGAAAATGGATTCTTGCAATACTGTCCAACATGAATCTACTCGTTGAAACTCAATCAACTTAAGTTCTTCAGAGAAAATAGAGAATTTCAGCAAGGGTACATTGACTTTAACATGGTGACATACATGCAGGATACATGATGGTATCCTGATGCTAAGTCATTGGCCAATGATGTATGTTCCCATATTAAATCAATGTACCCTTGCTGAAATCCTCATTTTCTCAGAAGAACTCAAGTTGATCGAGTCTTAACAAGTAGATCTGTGTTGGTGAGTATTACTAGAATCCATTTTCATTAGTAAGAATAGGGGTTCTTAAACAGGACATTAAAGCTTAACTATGGCCTTTTTGATTTTTTCGTTTAGTACTCTATAGGATAACATTATTGTCCTAAACACTGAGTAAGATTTTGAAAATAATTTTGAAAATAAAATTTGTCAAAGCACGCGTACATTAGTTAATGCCATTTCCTGACACTTCATGTTGGAATTAAAAAACAGTTCAACATTAATATTTGCTACAGCAACAAAAAGACTACATGAAGATGCATGTAGAAATAATCTTGATATACTTCATTAAATAATCAAAATTTAATCAAAGTGATATCATATTTGAAGTCTACATGTAAAATTGCATCTAGAAATGTGGTTAACCCCCTATCACACCAAACTTGTTCTTACCCGTTCTTGCCAGTCCTACGAAAACGTCGTAAAACGGGCTCAATCTGGCTGTGGTCGGGAAATATGTCTCAGGTCGCACCACGTCGGTGTGCAACGTAGTAGAACGCTTCCCTTAGTCTAGAAGGTCAACATGACCTGATTACAGAACGTTAGTGTCGCCATCGAATTTTGAATCGATTCAAAATTCTAAAATCACATTCCCGTCTGAGAACGATCATAAAGTTCGTAAATAGACCTTAGAAAGTTGCAGCTACGTTCATTCCGTTCGCACACAGTTTTGAAGAACGCAGTGGCAACTTGTTTGGTGTGATAGCTTTTTTTTTGCTTACTCGTTCATAAGCAGTGTTAAATACGTTCTCAATCAGTTTAAACCCGTTTGCAATTAGTTCTACCTCGTTCTCAACACGTCCTCAGACAATTCAACTCGTTGTTAAAACGTCCCTAGTAGGATTGAAGTACGACGGTTCCGTTCGTAGTACGTCCAGCTCGTCGTTAGTACGTTGTCACTCTTTCTAATTGTAGAACGTGACGACCACGAGAACATTTTGAGCATTGTCTAAGTTCTAGAGGACCTACCCGTTCGAGTACGTTCGATGAAGTTTGTGAATAGATCCCAAATGGTTCTTAGTAGGTCCAGTCCGTTCGTACACAGTTGAAGCCCGTTTTTGAGAACGTAGTGAGAACTAGTTTGGTGTGATAGTAGGGTTAAACAAGAACACAAATGTGTACAAAATGTCCCCACCAATGGGTGATCCCATCAAATGGTTATCCTGAAAATGAGTAGACAAGACTTTACCAACACAATTTTAATTGATCCGTCACACAGTTAACTAGAAAACATGTAAACAAGATTTTAGGATGGAAAATCCAAAATGGCTGCCTTGACATTTACCCAGAATGTCAAAAAACTAATCTGTTCCTAGATTTTCATACTAAGAATCATCCCTGAAAATATGACATTGATCTACCAAATGGTTCACCTGAAAACGCGTAGACAAGACTTTACAGACAAGATTTTAGGGCAGAAAATCCAAAATGGCTGCCATGACATTTACACAGAATGCCAAAAACACTAATCAGATGTAGATTTTCACACTAAGAATCATCCCTGAAAATTTGAAATTGATCTACCAAACGGTTCACCTAAAAACGTGTAGACAAGACTTTACAGGCAAGATTTTAAGACGGAAAATCCAAAATGGCTGCCTTGACATTTATCCAGAATGCCAAAAAACTAATCAGATCTAGATTTTCATACTAAGAATCATCCCTAAAAATTTGAAATTGATCTACAGAACGGTTCACCTGGAAATGCATAGACAAGACTTTACAGACAAGATTTTAGGACAGAAAATCCAAAATGGCTGCCTTGACATTTGCCCAGAATGCCAAAAAACTAATCAGTTCTACATTTTCATACTAAGAATCATCTCTGAAAATTTTAAATTGATCTACCAAACGGTTCACCTGAAAACGCGTAGACAAGACTTTACAGACAAGATTTTAGGACGGAAAAGCCAAAATGGCCGCCTTGACATTTACCCAGAATGCCAAAAAACAAATCAGATCTAGATTTTTATACTAAGAATCATCCCTGAAAATTTGAAATTGATCCACCAAACGGTTCACCTGAAAACATGTAGACAAGACTTCACAGACAAGATTTTAGGACGGAAAAATCCAAAATGGCCGACAATAAAAAAGTGATTATGTGTTTTTGCTGATTTCTTCTTACAAAATTATCACATATTACTACTGTTAACAATAACATAGGCTTTTACAACAAAGTAGATCTGAAATTATTTATAAAGCTACTAAATAGTTAAAGTATGAAAACTCAAAAACACCATTCAATATGATACAAAGTATTATCGTGCGCTAACTTTTCTTAAGACATTCAAAATGGCTGACATGACTGAGCTAACAGGTCCAAAACCTAATCAGATCTTAATCAGATGTAGATTTTCACACTAAGAATCATCCCTGAAAATTTGAAATTGATCTACCAAACGGTTCACCTAAAAACGTGTAGACAAGACTTTACAGGCAAGATTTTAAGACGGAAAATCCAAAATGGCTGCCTTGACATTTATCCAGAATGCCAAAAAACTAATCAGATCTAGATTTTCATACTAAGAATCATCCCTAAAAATTTGAAATTGATCTACAGAACGGTTCACCTGGAAATGCATAGACAAGACTTTACAGACAAGATTTTAGGACAGAAAATCCAAAATGGCTGCCTTGACATTTGCCCAGAATGCAAAAAAACTAATCAGTTCTACATTTTCATACTAAGAATCATCTCTGAAAATTTTAAATTGATCTACCAAACGGTTCACCTGAAAACGCGTAGACAAGACTTTACAGACAAGATTTTAGGACGGAAAATCCAAAATGGCCGCCTTGACATTTACCCAGAATGCCAAAAAACAAATCAGATCTAGATTTTTATACTAAGAATCATCCCTGAAAATTTGAAATTGATCCACCAAACGGTTCACCTGAAAACATGTAGACAAGACTTCACAGACAAGATTTTAGGACGGAAAAATCCAAAATGGCCGACAATAAAAAAGTGATTATGTGTTTTTGCTGATTTCTTCTTACAAAATTATCACATATTACTACTGTTAACAATAACATAGGCTTTTACAACAAAGTAGATCTGAAATTATTTATAAAGCTACTAAATAGTTAAAGTATGAAAACTCAAAAACACCATTCAATATGATACAAAGTATTATCGTGCGCTAACTTTTCTTAAGACATTCAAAATGGCTGACATGACTGAGCTAACAGGTCCAAAACCTAATCAGATCTAGAATGAAGTGAGCTGAACAAGATGTTAAAGTTTTAAAAGCAACTGTGAAGCCGTTTTTCTTAAAGTTTGCAGACAAGGATTTTAGCATTTGACTTCAAAATGGCCGACAGGAAGTAGGTATCGAGTTAAAAATTTTTCATCCACATCTGTATGCACTCATAAGTTATCCCTGAAAATTTGAAGGTGATATCTGTAGCAGTTTTGGAGAAAACTCCCGGACGTACGGACAGACGGACGGACAGACGGACGGACGGACGGACGGACGGACGTACGGACGGACAGACGGACGCGCCTAGGCCGACAATATGGCCCCACACTATGTGGTGGGGACATAAAAAGTATTTATCAACTTTGAAAAAATAATTTTCTTTGAAAATGTGACTTTAAGGTCGGGGTTTTTCCCCATTG